TTGACAACTTCCAATTTTCCTAGATTCATACTTCATCCATTCCATGTTCCAATGATTAATGGATGTCTGCAGCTATTTCTCTTCAATTTGAGTAGTGCCACATCAGCAAATGGAGGTCTCGAAAGCTTTACCTTATCCATAGGAGTAAGGCTGGGTTTACTCAGATGATGCAGCTCTTTCCCAGTCCTATTTTGATAGCCTTCTAACCTAACCAGACTATTCATAAAGTTGCACGGTAATATGTAAAACAGTGTTCCTTTGCTATTCATAAGGTTTTCCCTGGCCAATTCTTTGAGAAGTGGATGGCCTCTTCCTTCTTCCTAGTCTGTCTCAGTATGTAAGCTGGGTTGATACCTGTGCACCATGTGCATCCCACTGGGTTTGAAACACCAGTGGCTCAGCCTCAAAACTCACATCAACACATCACCACGTAGGACAAACCAACAGACAAGTTTGTCTCCCTGTTGGAAACCTCTCCTACCACCCTTACCTGGGTCCCTGCAGCTGGCTCCTCCTCTGTCCAGATTCCTGGGCCTTTTAATCCCCTTTCTCCTGCTCTCCCGCCCTGTTGCTTTGGGCATGCCCGAGTTCCCTCTCCTGACATGGATCACTGCGGCTGACTGTTCCTTCCCACCAGACATAGCTATTAACAATTAATAATTTTTGTAATGTACAGAAACCCAACCTTCAATCACTTGATATTAATTTTCTTTTCCAAAGGTAGAGTTTTTTAAAATCACATTTTTATTCTATTTACTTTTCAAAAAACTGACTTATATTAGAAAGGTATTAAGGGTTTTAGGAAAATATTTCAAAACATGAATATTACATATAATTTCAAGAGGAAAAATAAGTTAAAAACTGAGTGGTAACAAATTAAAGCATGCTACAATACATTCATCTTTAACTTAGGGGAAAATGTTTTTTAGAAAAAACAATTGATATTTGATTACTTATATACTATAGAGAATAAGAGAATTTACAACTAGAGTAGTATTTCAAACAACAAAGGATAAAAAAAAAAAGAATTGAAAGACAGTCCTTTTACAGTTTAATGAAGTAATTCTGCAGACATAGGAGATTTTCAGAGCATATGATTTGACATTAAAATAATCAGGAATTGGGACCTATTTATAACTGCATAATTCCACAGGGCCTTCAATAAAAGCACTCAAGGAGTAATCATTGTGGGGTATTTTGCTTGTTTGTCCAAGTATCACCTTTGTTTGCTTTAGGTATCTGTTACCCAACACTACAGCCTTCAACTCCTCTTGGTTGAAGAAAGGCTTTATGAGTCATATGTTTTTTGTAGGGATATTGAGCTCTCAGAATTATTAACTACAGGTAGAGAGTAAAAGTCAAAACTCATGCAATAAATTCCAGTGCCATTAGATGAAAAATACAGGTGCCTGAAATCACATCTGAAGAAAAACTTAGGAAGTTGTTTTCCAATCCTGCTTCACAACTTGAGTAAGCCATCCTGGAAATTTCACATTACAACCACAAAATAACACTGGCAGCCCCTATGAACCAGAAGATATTTTATGTCCATTATTCATACACAGCAAACAGTGGCTAAAAACTTCTAACTTCCTTCTGCAGTGATAATTGAGAGAGATACAGAACTGCCACCTAGTGACTAATAAGAAGAAGGCAAGGTGCTTTTCATGAAAAATATTTTTTTTTTTAAATAGTGAAAGACTAAAGTTAACATGAAGTTATGTAGTAAAACTTCAAAATGTATTAGTCTTCCTTTGATTATCAAATGCCATCGCCACCTCTAAAACGTCTCTTGACATTTGACTCTTACAAGTGTTATAGTTTAAATAGAATAACTTAAAATAAAGCTCTCATCTTAGTCTATCTGATGATTTTGTCATGAAATGGCATTATATTATATAGTCAGTGAGTGACTACCCATATAAAAGTATAATTTTTATCACACTGGAAAGAGTATGAGCTATAAAATCAAACAGGCCTACACTCAAATTTTGGACCTACCTTTTATCAATTATGTGACTTCAGGCAAGTTACTTAACTCCTATGAACATCTTTTTTTTTTTTTAATCAGGTAAGTGTGAATTATGATAATTATTTTAAAGGATTATTTTAAAGATTACATAAAACAATATAGTACAGGTGCCCTGGAGATTGAGAATTAATTCCAGTTATTTTATCTCTTTAAGGTCAGTTACTTTAAGTCCTTGTGAAAATGTGCATACCACCTGAGAAGAGAAAACCAGGTGCTGTGGAGTTGAGTCCCTATATGTGGTATGTGTCAGGGTGGAACTGTGCTCCATAACTTCTTCCATTGCTGATTTTTTGGATGGTGCCATGAAAAAAAAAAAAAAAAAGCAACTTTCTTTTTGTTAGAGAAGAACCTACGTCAAGCTGGAAGCTTAGAGAAGCACAATGGACTCAGTTGATGGCCAATGAATTACCTATGCAATGATTAGTCAAAAGTGAACAGATGAAGAAAGATATAAAGGTGTAAAAGAGAAATAGTAAAGTCAGCAATAAATAAGAAGAACAGTGTCCTAAAATATCTTCTCATTCTTTTTACATATTTTTTATGTTTAAGCATGACTAAATTGTGATCTGAAATATGTTACCAAAACCAAACCCAACTCACTGCCATCAAGTCGATTCTGACCCACAGCAACTCTCTAGGAGGAGCAGAACTGCTCCACAGTGTATCCAAGGCTGTAAATCTTTACGGAGGCAGACTCCTTCATCTTGTTGCCATGGAATGGCTGGTGGGTTTGAATTGCCAACCTTCTTGTTAACAGCTGAATGCATTAAACACGGCACTACCAGAGCTCCTTAAAATATGATGTTAGGTATTTCTTAATCCTTATCTCTAGAACTTAAGTGACTCAATTCTTTGTTATATCTGATAAGGCCAAAGCGACCATAGGTATGAAGTATTCTATAATGTCAGTAATGATAAAATATGTACAACATTGTTCTATATATTGGGATTCCAACTGTAATAATTAAAGATATATTCATGTTTATAAAATTATAGAATAATTTTCTATTTTTCTCAAGCTATGAATCATGATACAAATTGCAATAAGCTGAAGACTTTATGAGCAATTTAAAAATACCCTGATGCACTAAGGAGCTCTGGTGGCATAGTGGGTAAGACATTTGGCTGCTAACCAGAAGGTTGGTGATTCAAACCTACCAGCTGGTCCACTGGAGGAAGATGAGGCAATGTACTTCCGTAAAGATTTACAGCCTTGGAAACCCAGTGGGGGTTGCTATGAGTCAGAACTGACTCGATGGCAGTGGGTTTTGTTTTTTTGTTTTTGCTTTTCTTTTGGTGGTGCAGTGGTTAAAAACTCAGCTACTAACAGATGGGTCATAAACCACCAGCTTTTCCAGTGAGAAAGATAAGCCAGTCTGTTTCTGTAAACATTACAACCTTAACAACCCTATTGGGCAGTTCTATTCTCTCCTACAGGGACACTGTTGTTGTTGTTGTTGTTATGTGCCGTCGAGTCGGCCCGACTCATAGCGACCCCTCCTTGGGTTTCCGAGGCAGTATCACTACGGAAGTAGGATTGCCCAACCTTCCTTCCGAGACAGGGACACTATGAGTCCAAATTGACTAGATGGCAACAGGTTCGGTTTGATTTTGGTATCTTTAAGAGAAGCTTTATTTTTATGAAAATGGCCAATCTATCGGTACTTGTGAAAAGCACTGCCAAACCAAACTCACTGCTATCAAGTTGATTCAGACTCATAGTTACCCCCACTGGGTTTCCAAGGCAATAAATCTTTACAGAAGTACATTGCCTAGTATTCCTTCCACAGAGTGGCTGGTGGGTTTGAACCACCAACTTTCTGGTTAGTAGTCAAATGCCTTAGGCACAGCACCACCATAACTCCTTCTGAAAAGCACTCATTCACTGGCGTCACGTCGGATCCACCCCTCCTTGGGTTTCTGAGGCATTATCACTATGGAAGTAGATTGCCCCATTTTCCTTCTGAGGAGTGGCTGGTGGGTTTGAACCACCAGCCTTCTGGTTAGCTGTCAAATGCCTTACGCACTAGTAAAATGAAAATCTCAAATCAGTGTTATACTCCCATTTGTCCTCCAGGGGGAGTACAACCTTCATGAATGATGCAGGATTTTGTCTTACGCTTTTTTTAAGGTTTCTTGTTTTTAATGTGAAGTCATTTTAAGCTTAGAACAACTCTCAAAGATCATTCAAATATTTTATATCACTGTGTCCCAGATATGGTAAGGATGTTGTCACACACTAACCAGACACATACCTGTGCATAGAACACAGTTAGACATCTTTTGGTTTCTACCAGAACACATTCTTCTTTCTAGTGATGCTAATACTAAGTTATTTTCAAAAGTATAGGCAAAGGTATAAATAAACAAATAGTTTTACATCCAAAATAGCAATTGCCATCCATATTACTATTCCATACTAGTGTAACTAGTTTCCTTTCTTGCTGTTGTAAATCCATTTCGGTATAAAAGAAAGGGACACAAATTTGGCGTACTTGATAACAGAAAGGAAACAGTTCAACAGTTACATGGAAATTACACAGACACAAACTAATGTCTCTTCCATCAAATAGCAACTTAAGAACCATAATATCTGATTTCAGAAAAAGTCTGACAACGATTATTTTTTAAATCATATCCATGTGATTATTCAGCCAGACACATCTCTGCATAGCCATCTCCTGGAGAGGCCACCATGTCCTGCCAGAGCCAGCTGTTGTTTGGGTCCAACTCACTGGCTGGACATAGAATGATGCACCTTCTGAAAGCCTGTGGTAAGTTCCACTTCAAAGATGATTTTCTTTGCAAAGTATAAAGAAAGACCACACCCCCATTTCACTGAGTTCCCCCTCCAGGCTTAGGGAAACAAGGGTAGCCTAACTAGCTGGGTAGATGGGAAGATCAATCACAGAACCTGCCACAACTTTAAGATAAGTAAGAGAGACAGGATTACACATCCTAATCTTACCTGCTGTAGAGCATCTGAACTTTTTTCTGGAGTTTCCAAAACAGCAGATTGAGATTCTGGGTCAGAAAGGAAGCAGACAGTCAATATCTAAAACATAAATTTTACAATGTCTTCAATCAGAAAACAAAATGTTCACTAAAATATATCTTTAACCATAAGTGCCAAAAATATCCATACCACACACACACACACACATAAATATAACACATATAATGATTAAAAATCATGTTATTAGGTATTTTTTAAAAAAACTAGAATAGTCCTATGCCCTTCTTTACACATTGACCATAATTATGTTTATCAATTGCTAGTTTCAATACTGTGCCAAAGGAGCTCTGGTAGTGTAGTGCCTAAGGCACTTGCCTGCTAACCAGAAGGCTGGTGGTTCAAACCCATCAGCCACTCCTCAGAAGGAAGGTTGGGCAATCTACTTCCATAGTGATACCACCTCAGAAAGCCAAGGAGGGGTCGCTATGAGTCGGTCTGACTCAAGGGCACATAACAACAACAACATACTGTGCCAAGAAGTGCCTGCTAAAATTTCTTTTATATAGTTTACTTAGCTATGATCTGGTGGCACAGTGCCTAAGGTATTTGACTGCTAACCAGAAGGCTGTTGGTTCAAACCCACCAGCCACTCGTCAGAAGAAAGACTGGGCAATCTACATCCATAGAGAAATCGCCTGAGAAACCCAAGGAGGGACCACTGTGAGCTGGAACAACTCGATGCAAAGAGTTTGAGTTTTTGGGGTCTATACCACGATAGCAGTCAGCTCACCAATCCTGAAAGATAATATGGAAAGCTTCAGCTAAGTTTTCTCAAATCACCCTCTGATTTCAATAAGAAAACAAACTCTCTCACCAAGAACCTCTGAGTTATACAGGATTCTGGAAGGATTTTGTTCTTTTAAGAGTTTTGTTGGAAATTCATCATGCTGGGGAACCTAAGGGACAACTATATAGTAACATATATAGTTATATATAGTTATAGTTATA